CATTTTCAAGTAATTGATTTTCTTCATTTGCCACCGGTATGTGAAAGCCATCACCACAGCCAATGTCCTTCATTATATTTGCAATTAACGTACTGTCATACGCCATTTTTACTGGAATTATTTAGAAACTTAAGTCGAAAATTAAATCAAAAACCTATGAAAATGAACAAAGTGAACGAGTTGTTAAAAACATTTTGGAAGCAAACGTGAAGTACACAAAACTGTTACTATGGTAACGTAGTTCGGTAACACTATGGTAAAAGGATACATATCTAATCGGTATGATACATAATGTTGTGTTGTTGAGTTAGATTATACAATGTCGTCATGGTGCATGTATCGAGTCTATAAAGGTAGGTAGGTAACCATGTAGCTATTGTTTACAAATTTAGATGACATGATAACATTTATGGCCAGTTGTACCGTCTACGGTTAAACTTCGATTACGCTTAATCAGYTGATAACAGATATTTAACCGTGCAAATTCGGCCGATTAAACTCCAGTTAACTTTAATCAGAGACGGTACAACTGGCCCTTAATTAAATATGTTCGACTCTCATCAAGAATGTAGGTTTGATAGATATCTATGTATATAAGTATTATTTTCATAGAGTCCTTAGGACTTAAGTAATTTATGTTATCGTTCGTATTTCGTGTATTTCGTATAATAATATATGCGTCATGTTAACTATATCTCAAATAAAAGCRTGAATGTATAAGTAAATTAAAGGCATACCATCTGAATATCTCATTGCTATTTGTGTATCTTTCTGATTGTCCATTTCATTTATTAGCAAAAATATAAATAAAATTAAAAATGTTTCATTAATTCAACAAAATAATTAATGAAGAAACATGATAGTAGGAAGTAGGAAGTTAAACAGGTGTTCGTGTATCATGTTTCTTCATTAATTATTTTGTTGAATTAATGAAACATTTTTAATTTTATTTATATTTTTGCTAATAAATGAAATGGACATGTTAGATGTTCTATTTTCAAGCTTTCTGATCAAGCAAAATGTTTTAATGATGTTAATGTTTATAGAAAATAAATTTAAAATCAAAATGTCTAGAAATAGCTTTAAAAAAAAAACCAGGCATGGAAAATTCTACTATAAACATTTGGTGAACTACATTCTACGGTTATCCGTTTTTGAATTAAAACGAAAGATGAAAATTTTTATTTTATAGGCTTGAATAATCCTAAATCGTCAATAATTAAACTTCAGACGCTCATAAGTCAAAATAAATGTTTGTGGAATTTCGCTCAACTTTTAATTTTAATTCCAATATCTAGGTACCTAATAAAAACTCACGGAGAACCTATTGTATTACATTTTATATGGAAAATTCGAAATTGCAATATTATTGATGTTTTAATAATGTGCATAACGTTATGACTTATGAAACGTATTCATTAAATGTGGTACCTATTATAAATGTTATGTTAATACAAATGTCTAATAATAATAATGTGACAGCATCTAGAAATGCCAAACTTAATCTATGGCCTATGCACCCTTTAGTTATTAAAGAATTTTATTTTAAGTTTCATAAAGATTGGTTCAGTATTTTAGAGAAGATAGCAATAATAAATTGAATATCGTACGGGGTACTTATGTCAATATGTTCTATTGTGGTCCTGTAGATTCTACAGTGTAGAAGGTAGAGCTACAATATAATAATATTCACGCTCCACCCATAATGTACTTATCAATTTCATTTTTTTTTAAACTAAAATCTCTATTTTTTGTTTTAATAACCAACTTCATAGTGTTATGATAACACTATGAAGTTTGAATTTAAATTGTCTAAAAAAAATTCATATTATTTTTTTTTGAGATTAGGTATGGGTTTCAGTAAAGACTGCTTATAAGAAACTAAGTTTTAACTTTAAATTGTATAGAAATTTTACATTTTATATTATTAATTAKGTACAAAATAAGWGGAAAGTTTTCGTGATATTATCAAAATTCAAAATTTTTAATTTTATACTTGCGTTGTAAAAAAAGTGGGAAGTTTATAAGGCACTGATGTACTTTAGGTGTCTAGATTTTAGAGAAGTCACTGTAATAGTGACAATAGTGTAATGGATGTGTTCAATTTTAATTCAATAATATAAAATCATTGTACACCAAAAACGATTCTAAGCGAAGATGGTCTGTCAGCTTATAATATTTATTACTAAGTATCAGGGCTACGAGGAGGGTTTAGGAGGTTCAACCCCCCCCCCCTTTAACAAAGTAAAAATGTTAACATTTCTAGTACGATTTAAGAACAACCATTTAAAGTATAGTTACCGAATTAAATAACGTATACTATTGTATTTTATATTAAGGCGGGGTGTTTCAATCACTACAAACCACTGTTACCACTTGCCAAATACCTACATTTATTAAAATGGACCAAGTTTAAACAGAAAGTCTAGATGTCCTAAGGGGATTTAGTTGACAGGGGTACTAGTTGACCCATAAAGATCTAATTAATCCCGGGGGATCTAGATAACCATGGGGATCTTGTTGACCGGGGATCTAGGTGATACGTCWCCGATCACATTCTTAATAATAATATAATATAATATAATATAATATTAAAATAATCATATTTAATTTTGGAAAAATATTATTATTATTATTGTTGCCTATTACTTATTCTTGTATACCTATCCAGTTATCCTTATCGGCTAATTGTTTCCGAGAATCGCTGTCACGTCGAGCAACCGCGCCGGAAGCAACTCTCACACGCGCACGCACATGTCATTCTATCGCGAAAAATTAAGTATTTTCTTATTTGCATGACTATAAAAACTACTAAAAGCG